GTTTTCCAGCAGTCCCTGCTGGATGATGTGTGCCTCGGGGCTGGGGGCTGGCTCGGCGCTCATGAACACCCGGTAGTCGGTGTGGCTGCCCAGGCTGTGCCGCTCCACCAGCTTCTCCAGTGTGCCCAGCCACCGTGCCACGAGGTGGATATTCTGCAACAGCAGCCCCTCCTGTACCGCTTGGGCTGAAGCACGGGCTCGGGGATCACTCCTTCCCCCCACGTTCCTGCTCTGGCTCCGCAGAGAGCGGCTGCAGCAGGGCACGGCCCCCCTGCTTGGGCTGGGGACACCCAGCTACCCTGCGCAGCGTCACTGGCACCGTGGGGTGCACCCGGGAACCCTGCGCCCCATTGCAGGGCCTCCATCCTCTCCAGACGGCCTCCCACGCTTTGGCCTCCACGTTCTGTTCCCGGTCCCCTACTCGGTGGCCCCTCTTGGTGCATGCCCAAGGTCTGTCTGTCCTGGACGTCCCCTCGCCTACTGCCTTGCCTTGGTGGTGCAGCAAGGGGAAGGGGCTGTTGTGCACCCCAGTGAGCCCATGGGTACGGCTCGGGGACCTCGTGGCTGCTGTCACCGCCCTGCGGCATTGTGCCTCCTGCTGCCCCCCCATCCTCCCTGCAGTGGGCGCGATGCAGGAGCGATGCTGTGGGCAGGCACCTGCGACACTGTGCTCTGCAACTTCATCAGCCCCTTCTCCAGCCTCTCGATCTTGGCAGTGAGCTCGCTCCGTTTGTTCGACAGCAGGTTTTGGTAGAGCTTTATCTGCTCCAGGAAGGTCTTTGGCGTGGTGCAATTATAGCATCTCTCCACGGCCAGGTAGGTCTCGGACATCTCCTTAACGCTCCTGTGGACGTAGGACATGAACTGGCTGATGGAGACCTTGACCTCGGGCTGCGCCAGGAACACGGACAGTGAGATGCTCTGCCAGGAGCACAGACAGGGACCTGCTGCGCCGCGTGGAGGTGGTGAAATGCCGGGGTAGAACCAAGCTTTCCTCAGCCTTGGTTCTGCATCCAGCCACGAGGTCAGGAGGCAAAGTGCTGCTTTTCGTTAAACAGCTCAGTGCGTGGCTGAGAAACGTCGGTGACCACAGCACTAATGATGCTGGTTTTAAGCCCAGCTCTGGTTTTCCTGGCTCTAATTCCCCAGGTCAACCTGGGCTGCGCTGGGGAAAAGCTGCTGTTTCCAGGCTGTTATTTGTGGTGGACTTTTAAGGACAAACAGGAGCTGAGGAAAGGTTCATCCCCGCCTGCACAGTGAGGGTCGGCAGGCTCTGACTCTGGGGCTGACTGTCGGCTCACCCCAGACCCCATCCCCAGCTTGCTGCCCCCAGGTCACGCCAGACCCCCATCCCCAGGCACGCTGCACCAAGGAGAGCAGCGGAGGCG